CCCCATCTCCCTGTCTCTCTCTGTCTTTCTGGTGAGCTCACGCGCCCTGTAGCGAAAAACTCTCCAAAAAATAAAAGGAGGGGGGAAAGACCATCTCAGAAGAATCTAACAGGATCCTCACCTCACTCAATGACATTCTGGACAGCTGGATGCTCTCAAGAGCAAAGGGTGGGACCAGCAGTTAGCATAATGGCTATGTCACTGGACTCCCAAGTGGTCGACCACGGTTTGAGTCAAAGCTTAAAGTCATGCTGGGCGTGTGTGTGTGTGTGTGTGTGTGTGTGTGTGCCCAGGATCCTGAGAGGAGAATGGAGGAGAAGGGATTGTGGCTTGGCCATTCCCCCTGGTGTGTGTGTGGGTGATTTCTCGCTTTCTGTCCCTCTCTCTCTCTCTGTCTGTCTTTCTGTGCGCTCACCAGAGAGAGAGAGAGAGACAGAGACAGAGACAGAGACAGAGAGAAGGAAAGTGAGAAATCACCCCCCACCCCCAGTGGGGATGGTCACACCACAATCCTTTCTCCTCCATTCTCCTCCTAGGCTTTTGACACATTTGCACACACATGCCCAGTGTGAGTTTTAAGCCACCGGGTCCAGGACTGTCAGCCATGTGGGAGTCCAGTGACATAACTGCTACACCATCTGCTGGTTCCCAATTAGAGCTTTATATCAAAGGAAGAAGGCCATCATGACACCGTGAGACTCTTATCTCTGTGGGTGTTGTCAAGGATTTCACAGAGGAGGCACACACTTCATGGAGAGGGGTGGATCAAATCATTTCTAACTCTTCAACTGGTAAGTATTCATTGCAAGAAGACCAGGAAGAGACTAGCTATAACAAAGCTGTGTAAGACACTAAGCAGAAATGATAAAAAATTTTTTTTGAGGTTTACGGGAGTATAAACATCAGTAAGCCTCAAACCAGAGTTTATCAGAATTGAAACAGTTACCCTGCAATATTGTTACATGAAGCCATAGAATCTATCCTTGAAAAACTACATACTATTATAACTGTATGATGTTCAGAAGCCGGAGGTATCTAATGGACATTATCTATATAGCAAAGCTGTTAAATAATGAGGTTAAAGGAAAGGAATACAACTTGTTGAGAACAGGCTGTGATTTGTAGATTTGCTCCCATGCCACTGGTGAAGTTAAGGGTAGAGCCACTTCTCTTTATTCCTTAACTTCCAATTAGTGACTGAAGAAAGACACAGCTGTAAGAGGAAAATTACTGGGCACTGCAGAAAAGGTCTGCTGAGATAAACGAACATTTTACATTAATTTAAAAGACCTAAATAGGATGATGGAAAGGACTATCTCATAATGTCAAAGTTCGAAGGCACTTTTCAAATGCCTCTTTAAAGAAAAAAATGACCTTTCTTTTTTTTTTTTTATTATCAGAAAGATTGCCTAGAGCAGTCTGAGCCTTTGGTCATTTCATTTTGACATAGAAATCCTTTCAGCATTAAAAATATTCACAAGGATAAAGGAATTTAACTCTGAAGTGACTAAGAACATCTTCAGCAACACAAAAAAAAAACAGTGTGAAAGCATTAGCATTTCAAAGATTGTGTCTTAATAAATTAATAAAACTTTCCCCCTCATATATGAAAGTTATAACTTACACAAGGTCATGACTAACTAAAAGAATCAGCAAGAGGACCAGCAGTTAGTGTAATGGCTATGTCGCTGGATTCCCACGTAATCGACAGCAGTTTGCATCCCAGACCCGGTGGCTTAAAACTCATGCCGGACACGTGTGCGTGTGTGCCCAAGATCCCGAAAGGAGAATGGAGGAGAAGGGATTGCGGTGTGACCATCCTCCCTGGGGAGTGATTTCTTGCTTTCTGTCTCTTTGTCTCTCTCTGTCTGTCTGGCGAGCGCACGCACCCTATAGCGAAAACCTCTCAAAAAAAAAAAAAAAGAGAAGAAAAAAAGATAAAAACAGAAATCAGCATGAATCTAATTTTTTTCCTAAAGTATTTCATGTTATTTTAGAATATTCTATTCAGGAAAATTGTTGACTACACCACTTAGAATGCTCAGTGCCCGGATGTCTCTGTTAGTTATAGATTACCTGACAGTAGATATAGATGTGAGCATAAATACATTTTCACCAACATAAAAACATCTTACAAAAGGCCTTACTTTCCCATGTTAATTATTTCTGTTTTAAGGTATAGTTTACAGATAGTAAGATTCACCCTTTTTGGATTATGGTTCTGCAAGTTTCAACAAATGCAGTTGAGTAAATATCACGAGCAGATTATGTGTGTGAGTTTTATCACAATCCAAAATTCCCCTGGACTCTTATGGTGTATCCGTCTCTACATCTCCAGCCATGGCAACTACTGTTCTATTTTCTGTTCCTATAATTTTGCTTTTTCAAAAATACTCCATAGATGGAATTACATAGTATGTACCAAACCTCTTTTAAACTACATACACTCGTTAAAAAGTGAAACAACTAGGGACCAGCAGATGGCAAAATGGTTACATAATTGGACCCCTACGTGGCCGACCACTGTTCGAGTCCTAGACCAGGCTGCATGAAATTCATGCCAGACGTGGGTGCTCAAAGTCCTGAGAGAATGGAGGAGAAGGGATTGCAGTGTGGCCACCCCCCCTGGAGGGTGATTTTTAACTCTCTGTCTCTCTGGCAAGCACATGCGCCCTATAACAAAAATTTCTCTAGATCTCTCTCTCTCTCTCTCTCTCTCACACACACACACACAAAGCAATTAAAGTGTCCTTTTTAATTTACTAGCTTTCACTTCTTCCATAACTTTAAAGGTGAAAATAGAAATAAAAAAGTCCAATCACTCTTGAATGTTACATCCTGAGACAGGTATTACACAGAGAACTTTTTGACTATGTAAATCTTTAGGGTTTCTTTTCTGTTTTTTTTTTTTTAATAGACCACAGATTAGTTTATTTTTAACACTCATCATGCCATGAATTCATAGGGAATAGGTTCCAGTAGCTCAGGCTCCTTTCCATTGGTTTTCACAAAGTGTGCTTCTCTGGGTGGAGCAGGCTGGCGCTTTAGTTGAACCCAGGTACCTTTCTCTTTGGCTTCTTTCTTTTTCTGGTCATTTTTCTTCACACATTTTAGGAAGCTATCTCTGCTCTTAGAATGCTTAATATGCTCAATACGCGCATTAATTCTCTTGGCAAGAATCTTGCCCTTAACTTGTTTGTTCACAACCATGCCAACAGCATGCTGGATAAAACACTGTAGACTCTTCCAGATTTGCCATGGTAACATTTGTGGGGCGTTCCTTTTGGAACAGTATCCATTCCCTTAATATCTACAATATCACCTTTCTTATAGATTCACATATATATTGCCAAAGGAACGACTCCATGTTCTCTTTTCTTTTCTTTTTTTTTTTTTTGAGAAGTTTTTCGCTATAGGGCGCGTGTGCTCGCCAGACAGACAGAGAGAGACAGAGAGACACAAAGTGAGAAATCACACCCCAGAGGGTCACGCCGCAATCACTTCTCCTCCATTCTCCTCTCGGGATCTTGGGCACGCATGCACACGCACTTGGCGTGAGTTCTAAGCCACCAGGTCCGGGACATGAACTGCGGTCTACTACATAGGAGTTCAGTGACATAGCCATTACGCCAACTACTGGCTCCCTCCATGTTTTCTAAAAGGCCTAGAGAATATACATCGGGTGCCTCTCCTCATTCCCTTTGTGTTCATCATTTTAGTGAATTACTGGAAGATGGTGGTTCTCTGGGGTTTCATTTTTGATGTATTGAATTGAAATATCTCCCTGCGTGCCCCCAGAATTTAATTTCTATTAAATTCTCCAAGCTTTATTCTGATTGACCAACTAGATTTGGGAAACACCAGCCTATGGGAAACATTAACAGATATTCACTATGTGGGTCAACTACCACATTGTAAGTTAAATCCACATGTTGGGAGAGTCTTATCCAGATGACTTGTCCCAAATGTGGTTATCACAAACAGGTGTTGAATAAGTTATTTAAATTGGATGGTCCTGGGTTTTTCTCCTTTCATGTAGGGGAAGCAATGCCTTCCTTGAAAGTTTGGTGAATATATATGTATAAAGCACGTAGCATTGCACCTGACACACGCAGCACTCAAGGAATGGAAGCTGCGCACATCAGGGGCACGGGTGCCAGCATCACCGTCCCTGCTGTCATAATCACACAGCCTCGGGAGCTTCACTGTCCTCGACATCTCTACTTACAAGCTGTCATAAAAATCTCTGCATGAAATTTGTCAATTCTACACTTCTTTTTAGTTCTTTCTTTGATGGTGACCAAAGACAATCAATTTTTGTAGTATCAGTACTATGTTAAGGGAAAATTTACTGATTGTACCAAATCCTCACTTTTGCCTTGTTATGGCTTCAAAGATACGATGGGGACTAAAAGCAAATTACTGGAAACTCTCCTTTTCCAAGAAGATGCTATTGGTGCTATAAGCAAACAAAAGGAGAAAGCAACAAATAGGGCCAAAACTTAGCAGAAAATTATACTGTCTGCATAGTTAGGGGATAGCAAAAACAATGACTTTATTCATTAGCCCTTTGAGTCAAATATTTGGTATGAAGAGAAATTAAAACTGTTGACTTAAAACAGGCTTGCCCCATTGTCACTTTATATTAAATTTAAGGAAGAACTTGTATTCAAAGTTGAGAAATAAGCAAAATATTTTAAGATTTATTTGAAACATTACAAGGTTCAGGGAAAAGGGGAACTAAAAGCTAAAGGCAACATTTTAATTATTTAAAAGTATTAAAATTTGGTCTTAAAAACTGATTGCAAGTTAGATGTCTACACATTTATTTTTATGCCATAGTTGTATTTAAGCCCTAAAATACAGGAAGAATGATGTATAGTTGGCTGCACATGTTGATATAGAAAAAGAGTAACTCCTAGTCTCAAAGAATTATGCGAGGCTGCTAACACCAAGACTGAAGAGCATCAAAAGGCAAATATGAACCCCACAAACCCTACCTGTTTTCAGCATCAGCGCTGCACTTTGGGGACATCAATTCAAAGGATTTGGTAAATTTCACCACCTGCCACACAGAAAGAGAGCAAATCCAGGTCAATTAAAGCTTTCTCACAGCCTAAAATACACAATAAACATGCTCACCTTCGTAATGATTATTACAATAATTAGAGATTACAGATAAATTTTAAGTAAAAAAAATTCCAAGGGAGAGAAGAAAATTCTATCCTACACTTTTAATTTTACTTCTGATGTAACATACATTACCAAGTTTTAATGTTTTACTAAGCATGTATGCATTTTTCCCAATGACATTTACAATGTGTTGTGGTGGTCAGGCATGTTTCATTTAAATACAATTTTTATTTATTCATTTTTTTAGGTATTTGCCATAGGGAGCGTGAGCTTTCCAGAGAGAGACAGAGAGGAGGAAATCGAGAAATCACCCCCTTGCCCCAGGAGGAATGGCCATATCACAATCCCTTCTCCATGTCTCCATTCTCCTCTTGTGATTTTGGGCATGCATATACACATGCCTGGCATGATAGCTGGTAGATATGGGACTCAAACAGCAGTCAACTGTATAGGAGTCCAGCGCCTTAAGGGCCAAGTCACTTGCTGGCCAAATTCAATTTTTTTTTAAACCAGTCTTTTAGCAATCCAAATACATCAATAGAGACCCAAAGAGGGACAAGACATCCTCAAAAAGGATGTCTTCCATCAACCCCAAGAAGTTAGCTTCCTTGGCTTACCGTTATTCTCAGGTAATATTTTGGTGGTACCATTGAAAGAATAAAGAAGGGGCCAGCAGGTAGTGTCATGGTTATGGTGCTGCTCTTTACCCTTTGAAAGAAAGGAAGAAAGAAAAAGAAAGAGAAAAAGAAAAAGAGAGAAAGGGAAAGAAAGAAAGAAAGAAAGAAAGAAAGAAAGAAAGAAAGAAAGAAAGAAAGAAAGAAAGAAAGAAAGAAAGAAGGAAAGAAGGAAAGAAAAAGAAAGAAAGAAAGAAAGAAAGAAAGAAAGAAAGAAAGAAAGAAAGAAAGAAAGAAAGAAAGAAAGAAGGAAAGAAGGAAAGAAAAAGAAAGAAAGAAAGAAGAAAGAAAGAAAGAAAGAAAGAAAGAAAGAAAGAAAGACAGACAGACAGACAAAGGCTAAAGAAGAGAAATCCACTTTTTTCATTGATCATAACTAGTGTGGACACTTCCTCCCTCACCTCTCCAGTGAACCCAGCACGCCCAGTGCAAGAGTCTGATCAGACGTAATATGTTGAAAGGCAATTTTTGAGCATGGATATTACCAATGTAGCTCTTCTTATTATTAGCTGTACTTGAGTTCTTACTATGAACCAGATCCTATCTCAGAAGCTTCTTTGATTACTTAATTTCTTTATTATAAGTTTGAAAAGTCAGAATTTTTATCCTTAGTCTAAGGATGAGAAAATTAGCCCATAATTTTTAAAAAAATTATTTTATACATTTAATGACTGTGTATCACAACAGCTTACAAAACGAATTTTCCCAGCATAAATACTCTGCACACTAGTCTAGTTAAAGATATTATCATTCACACTCTCATCAACAGACAATTCTCCATTTCTGTGTCCCTGAAATGTCTTGCCTATTTTTCTCCTTGATTCCCTTCCTCTCACTTAACCCATAATTTTTAAATAAATTTGCTCAGTTTCACACAATTAAATGAAGCAACTTGGATAAAAACAAGTCTACCTGACCCTGGGATGCCAGCTCTTTCAATAATACCACTATTGGGTGAAAAGGCACCATTTTTGGCCGTCTTTTGACAAAATATGCCTCAAGTTAAAAGGAGTACATCTGAATGTCATTGGCTATGTGCAAGGTTGGCATTTAGATTTGCTTTAGTTAGATGCAGTCATGCTTCAAAGGGCTTTTCAATTAGCCACTTGTAGGAATTGATGTGCACCTGAGAAAATGATTTGGAAACTGGGAATAGATTAAATATTAAAACAGCCTAATCAGTGAGGTAATGAACCCAAGCTAGGAAAATGTAACTTTAGGAGGGAAAAAAAGAGAAAAGAAAAACCCATCAAAAAAAGAAAATTGTGTGTGACTAGCTAAATGTAGAACAGTGGCAATAGCTCAACTGCGAGGAAATACCCTTGACATTCATAGAACATATTTCATTTCTTATTGGAATATGAATTAAGCCTCTGCAGAATCACTATTGTAGAAAACCTTATCTTCCAAAGATGGCCATCACAATAACTCTTACTCCACATTCTTCTCTACAGTGTGATCCTGCCACTTTTAAACCAAGTAGTAGGGTCTATGACCCCTCCCCTTGAATCTGGTGGGCATCTGACTGCATCAATGAATAAATTATATTATAAACTATATGGAAAGAATAAACTTATGAAAACCTTTAAAGGTTATTGTAAAAGGCAATTTCCAAGGACAAGAAGTTAGTGTGATGGTTACATTGCTGAACTCCCACATAGCTGACTGCAGTTCGAGTCCTGGACCTGACTGCTTAAAACTCATGCCAGGTGCATGTGCCTGTGTGCCCAAGATCCCAAGAAGAGAATGGAGGAGAAGGGATTGCAGCATGGCCATCCTCCTGGGGATTGATTTCTCGCTTTCTGCCTCTCTACCACTCTCTGTCTCTCTGGCAAGAATATGCGTCCTATAGCAAAAAAATCTCTCTCTCTAAAAAAAAAAATGGCAATGTCCATCTGTGTTTAGTGGAATACTTGTGCATGGAACTCTAGGTCACCACAGCAGAAGTCCTACTTCCCTGAGGCCACTGTGTAGAAAAGAAGTGAACAGTGTCGAAAGGTCATGTGAAAGGCTTTGGTCACCAGCCTATCTCTAAGTCATCAGGTGCCGGACGTCTGAGTGAACAAGCCTTCAGATCATTCCAGGTCCCAGTCGTTAAGTCACTCCCATGCTTCACGCTATTCCAATTGTAATGCTAGACATCCTGGAGAGAGTATGTATCCAAAATCCTGACCCACTGTCTGAGAGCAGAATAGTTTGATTGCTCTAAAATTTAGCCTCATTTGCCACACAGTAAGAGTAACTGGAACACCTATGTTAAATGAAGACTTAAACAAAATACTTAGAAATCTTGATCCAACTATGATATTCTCGGGTCTCACAAGATACTATATCAATAAGCCCCAAAGATACTATTTACTCTCACCAAATAATAGATCCTTCAAACTATACCCCAAATAGTTTTTAGAATTAAAACACTCAAAAGATAAAAAGTAGATTTCATTTATATTTGCCAAGTGGGAAAATATTACATATCTTTAAAGAGGGAATTACTCCTATATATCTAAAAACAAAAAAGAATTATTTATTTAATTTTATTTATTCATTCCTTTATCTTAATTTTACCAGACAGACAGACACACACACACACACACGCACACACACACAGAGAGAGAGAGAGAGACAGAGAGAGAGACAGAGAGAGAGAGAGACAACAAAGATAAAAAGTAGATTTCATTTATATTTGCCAAGTGGGAAAATATTACATATCTTTAAAGAGGGAATTACTCCTATATATCTAAAAACAAAAAAGAATTATTTATTTAATTTTATTTATTCATTCCTTTATCTTAATTTTACCAGACAGACAGACACACACACACACACACGCACACACACACACACACACACACACAGAAAGAGAGAGAGAAAGAGAGAAAGCAAGCCACCAGGTCCAGGACTTGAACCATGGTTGGCCATGCAAGAGTGTCCAGCACCAGCCACCTGCTGGTTCTCATCTATATTTCTACTTTGATCTTTCATCACATGTAATTATTTTCCATTATTTTGTCTAGACGACAGTAAATTTTTCCATTTTTATCATGTTCTAGACAGTATTCTGCCATTTTACTGTGAATGAGTCATTTTGCACCTGTTATAACCAATCCTTTGTCTATGTACTTTTGCTTACCACATTGTAGCAAAGTATAATAGATATTATCCCTATTTTGTTGAAGGGCAATTAAGCATAGAAGGGTTAAGAGATTTGCTGGCAGCCATACAAGCAGTAATTTGCAGATTAAGGATTCGAATAATGTCAATTTGATTCAATAGTTCCATTTTTCCATTGATCCTCCCTGTTTTCATAAGAAAGAATTAGTGGTATTGTAACAGAAAATTATTTGGAAATGACTCCTTCAAAACCAAAACACTTAGATAAACTCTGCCTTTATTTTATAATTCTACATATATTCATTGAGTATACCTGAAGTTGAATGAACAGAGACTAAAAAGTAACTTAAAACACCTGGCTTGGTATAAAATTAATTAAATTACCCAATAAAAATGACCAAATTACCAATAATTTATTCATTATTTCTGCATTTAGAAATCAAGCAGGACAAATATTATCATTTCCTGACTGATAGATGAGCTTAAATTTTCTCTATAAAGTTTATAGAAGGGGCTGAATGATGGCTGATCCAAATGAGAAGGTTCTGGTTTATGTCTGGAGTATATGAGGTACAAATGCTGATCCATGGCTGGTTGAAGCTGGCAGTGAATTGTGACACCAGAATCCTGTTCGGGGCTTCTGTCTCTCTATCTCTCTTTCATGGAAGAAATAAATAAATAGACCTAAAAAAGCAGTTCATGAGGAATGCCTATTATGAAAAACTATGCATGGATATAAAAACATTTGCATTGAAATTTATCTATTTTTCAACAGACTTTTTGATGTCATTTCTTATTACTAATAATGCTTTATTTACTTACTTTTTACTACTAGTTAGATGTTAACTTCTGGAAAACAAATAGCAATGCAAATGATTTTTCTTGTAGAGAAATATAAATTGATTTTATTAGAGATACAAATGACTTACATGCAAAAGATTATACATCACGACCAGGTAGACTTTATTCCAGGGATGCAAGAGTGGTTCGATATACACAAAACCATAAATGAAATACACCATATTAATAGAAAGAAAAAGACCATGTGATTCTATCAGTTGATGCAAAAAATCTGGTAAAATGCAACGTTCCTTCATGATTATGACTCAGCAAAATTGGCATAGAAGGGTCATTTTTCAACACAGTA